TATACCGGGGAAGTTACGGGAAGTTGTGCTGCGTCAATCCCATGATAGCTTAAGAGGAGGACATCTCGGAATTAGGAAGACATTGAGTCATCTACGACAAAGATTTTATTTGGATATGTATGAGGCGAGATGTGGAAGAATGGTGCCGGACATGCAGTACATGTAGTGCTAAAAGGGGACCCAAGCATACGGGACACTCACCTTATGAAGAGTTGCCTGCGAATATGTCAGAGTTTGTAGAAGTGTTATCGGAAAGGATGGATGATATTCACCATCAAGTGCGTTCAAACTTGAAAACGTCTGCTGATTCGGTGAAGTTAACTTATGATAAGAGATCTACTGAAGTCAGCTTTGTACCTGGAAACAAGGTATGGGTGTATAATCCCAGGAAGACCAAAGGGAAGTCTCCTAAGTTGTCTTCTCCATGGGAAGGCCCATATGACATAGTGGATCGTCTCTCAGACGTGACCTTCCCGGTAAAATGTGGTCGGCGAGGTAAACCAAAAGTGGTGCATGCCAACAGGCTTTGGCGTTATCACGGTCCAGGACATTTCAGTTGGGATAAAGTGGACCACAGAACAAATGACGCTGCTGAAGACGTAACACCTGAAAAAGCCACCGTCGAAGAAGAAACTCTAATCAGTTTTGAGAAGGGAAATGGTGAAGCTCTTGATGAAGTTACTACCACTGATGTGACTGTTACCGATGATAGGACATTTACTGATGAAGCAGATGAACCCCACGTGAAGCAGAAGCCAACAAGACGGAGACCAGTACGGAAGAAGATACGTCCCGTAAAATTAAGAGACTTTGTTGAATTCTAATTTTGTGATTGTATTTCTGTACATTTAATTAAGTTATTGTTAATTGTTATTGGTTTAGTGTAAGTGGCAATTGTTCGGGACGAACAATATTAAGGAGGGGGCAGTGCTGTGTCATCGAGATCACGTGACTATTCTCGTGCTCTCTAGTTTCTAGAACTATCTTGTTCCTTCATGAATGCCCTAGCATTTACTAGATAGGGTAGTCTGGTATATATATAAGAGGGTGACAACGTGACGCAATAATGTGTGTGTAGATAGTGAGTAATTGAACTGCAGTCAGAAGTATTATTGACGTTCGTTGATATAGCGTTTGTCTTAGCGCGATTGTTGAAAATAAGTGTATCGTAAAGTTGTATTCGGAAAGAATAAACCAGTTTTATTAAGTAACGACTTGTGTCGCTAAAGTTTCGTCGGAACGAAGTTACGGAAAGTTAATTAACAAACGGAGACGTAACAATATTAAATAGAACTATGTACAATTATAATATATTAAATAGAACTAGATAGAACTATAAGATATTAAATAGAACTAGATAGAACTATAAGATATTAAACAGAACTAAATAGATTTATTCAAGTATAACACGGGGAACGCAGAGACAAGCCCAGCTATTTGAAGTTAGTCTTTCCGTCCCGGTTATACTGAATAAAATTACTAGAAAAATTATTATCAGCTACTTATAAGTTAAAGTAACTAACTCTCTCTTTATTTTATTTATAAAATATTTTCCTTAATCGATAGTTTAGTTTCTAAAATATTTTTTTATTTATTAAAATAAAGTACTGTATTTCTCTAATTGCCTGTCTCTATAGCAGTTATCTTTCAGTTTAATTTTTAATAATAAAACATTATCCATAAAAAAAAATATAGTTATTAGAGACTATTAAGAACCGTTTTAGTTGAGATATAATAAAACCTTTGAACATGGTACACGGAATAACACCATTAGATGTGTGTAAACCAAGAATGGGAAAATTAAATTATCCTCTTTTATCAAAAATAGTTAACCACACTTAACCTT